GCAGGAAAGTTGGCATTGCTTCTGTGCAAGTTTGCTTGGCACAAATGAATTTCCCAAGTGTAACTGCATGCAGGCCCGTCTTGTGGTTGTAGAGTTTGTTTCTGTACCCATCCCCCACCGTCTTTGCAGGCCAAGATGAATGAGATTCGCACTTCAAAGCACTGGCATTGGTGGTGGCATTGCTACGCGGCTAACTAGCTGTGTTAGCTTGTTAACCTTTGTGGGTTTTTTAGCAAATGATGTGTAGCTACATTAAATGTAAGCTTTGTTTTGACAGCTGTTAGCGCTAGTCTTTAAGCTAACTGATAAACCGACAAAACTTAACGGTGAACTTCAGCTTGGAAATTTAAGTACACAGCATTAAAATGTGCTAGGCCAGACAGAAGTCTAGCTGACAATATTTTTAACACGTATTTCTTTTTTTATATGTGTTAACAAGCGTACACCAGGTTCCTAGAATATTTTGTCTTCTCATTTCCAACTGCACTTGACTTTATGCTGCTCTGTTCTCTCTTGGGTAGCTGCTCTGCTCATCTCATTTTGTTTCTTTAGTATGTACATTTTAAACTCAGTAGTAGATGTGTTTCTCATCTTGGTAACAATGTGTTTCCTTTGTGTCAGCTCCCACTGCTACAACTGACCACATTTCATGCTTCCATTATAGGGTGAATTGTTTGCCAGCAAAGTCATTGCTAGAGGGGAAGATCTGACCTCTGCCTTGCACAATCAGAGACATGAGTGTTGTCAGAGAATTACATGGGATTGGGTTCAGAGGCGGCGGCGGGGTTGTAGCCTCTCTCAGTGGGCCTACCCACTTTACCGAGGGTGCTCCACGGGCGGAGGGATCTGATGTGGACCCTCCAGGTCAGTCAGCCAATGGCCGTTCAAATGCTCTTTCCCAAACCCTCTGCTATCCCTCTTCATCCTCATCATCTAAAATTGTGGATCCAGCAAGTTACACACCCTCCTCATCATCTGCAACCCCACGTCGCCCTGATCTGGACTTGGGGTATGAACCTGAGGGCTCAGCTTCGCCAACTCCACCTTACCTGAAGTGGGCTGAGTCACTTCACTCTCTCCTAGATGACCAGGAAGGCATCCAGTTATTCAGAAACTTCCTCTGCCAGGAAGGGTGTGCAGACCTTCTTGACTTCTGGTTTGCCTGCTCGGGCTTCAGAAAGACCAGCCAAGAGAAGAGGGCAAAGCTAGCCAAGGCCATCTACAGGAAGTACATTGTAGATGGAAGTGGGATCGTTTCAAGGCAGATCAAAGCAGCCACCAAGAGCTTCATTAGAGACTGTGTAGGAAGGCCACATCCAGATCCTGCCATGTTTGAACAGGTAATTACATTAAATAATTGATTTCTTGTTTGTAAAGGTTCTGATGAGAGCAGTGTGTGTTGAATAACACTGATCAGTGGAAGATGATTTCCCACAAATTGTATTTTGTCCATCTTTTTACTCACAGCTAAAATCACCTCTCCCCAGTACACAGTTGGGGGCCATGTGTTGTTGGCCACTTCCTGTAAAGCCATCATTGTTCAGTTATATGTCAGTGTCAGTGTTTACTTGTCAGTTTGAAGAACTTGGCAGACACATGTGCTTTCAACTCAGCTGGTGTCGTTGTCTTTTACAAGGACCAGAAGTAATAGAAAGTGTTGACATTACTTGTCAGAGGTTTGGGCAGCTTTCCCATTGAATGGGAAATATGTCCAGACTTTTGACTGAAGGTCAATGTTCAAGAACATGACTGCTTGCATTCCATTTGTACTAAAGAGAGTATGCTTGTGTGTGTGTGTGTGTGTGTGTGTGTGTGTGTGTTCATTTTCTGTGGAGAATTAGTTACATGATGTGCTGGGCAGTATGACCAAAAAAAAGAAAAAAATTTTATCACAGTATTTTTTTTAAGATTCTGGCAATTTCATGGTATCCTTTTCCCCCCCATGACTGGGCCTTTATATATGTTTGTGGCTTATTCTGTTGTCAGGAGTAGCCTACTTAAAATGCAAACATGGGAAATATTATAGCCTGCAAATTCAAATGTTAATGTAAACATCATCCATTTTTGAAACGTCATAGTTTTAAATAGTTATTGCCTTTAGGCTACTTATAGCACAATTACTGCAAAAAATAAATAAATTAATACAAATAATCATATGGAAAGATGAAGCCTGTGCTCAAAGCATTGTAGTCTTCTCCAGTCACTGAGCTGGGCTGTCTTCACAATGTTATTCCCACTGTCAGTTGCTGGCATAGGTACCTGTACAGTGTATGTATCTACAAGTTGTTAGGGCCAACTGCCTCTCTTGTTAAACCCTGTACAATTATATCTCCTATGTGGTCACTCGGGAATTATGTTTGCAAACAATAGCTGTGCAACTCCCAGTCATCACTGAAAGTGCACTGTGATGCTGAAGCATGACTCCATTGTGCAACTTGACCACAGGTCTGTTGTAGAAAAGTGAGCAAGTGTATGTAGCTCTCCTTTCAGCTTGCTTCAGTGTTATTGGTATAATGTCAGTGTAAGAGTTTGCTAGTGTTGCCAACAGCAGCGACAGTGACTCACCAAACTTTAGAAACTACAGACACAGCCTTTCTCTTGGACACAATCTCCAGTCTCACTCTGTTCATCTTCCATCTCTATTTTATGTTCTTTAGTAATGGTGCAGTTGTTAACAGACTGTTTTTCTACCTGGCTAGCTAAGAAGCTGTACCCAGCATGCTGTTCACCTATGTAATTTTGTGCATGTGCACTTGTTAATGTTACAAATTGTTTGTGTCACAAATGGTTATGTGCCATGGCGTTTCGCTCTGTTAAGAAGAGTAGGTTGTGGGTAATTAACTCTAAGTTACAACCATTAGTAAGATGGGTAAGCACAGTTAATAGGGGTTCCCTCTCAGTATGTTCTGCCTAAGAATCTGAAGCACTTCTAGTGGTGAACAGTGTTATATAATCTGCTGATTACTGAAGCATTACAGCTGTTGGTTCAGCTCTGCAGCAGTATGGCAATATATGAAAAATTCATACCTTATGTGAAATTAAACCTGCTATAAGCACTATCACATTATGTTGCGTTACATTTGCAGTATGAATAAATGGTGCACAACAGTTCTTGCAGCCTTTTGATAGAGACCTGTCTGCAACAATCAATCTGCTCCAGTGAAAATACTTTGAGGAGCTGTGCCCTAGGAACTGAAACTAGAAATAAATTCCTGCAGCCAAATGACCCCTAAAGATTCCTGAACTTGTTTTTGTGGTTGTAAAGAGTGGTTATGGCCTGATAGTAAAATTTAAATACTATTGTGTGACAAAAAAGGGAGCCGCTGTTGTAACACGTCACTTCCAAAGCAGAGATTTATATGTTCTCTGTTTTAGTAAGTAAACCACAACAAAGGACCTGATTATATTACGTTTTAGTTTCAGGTTTTTCTCTCGCCCACCTGTGTCCTTTTCCATCCTTGGTCTCTGATTCTGTTTCCATTGCACTTTCAATTCAGTGTGAGTCTGCTGAATATACATTCAGACAATGTACTGTACATATGAGGCTGCTAGTCTCAAGTCTCATGCTACATCTCTTTAGAGAACAGCTAAACAACAAAATAACCAGAATGAAATGACATAATTACCACAGTAAACAAAATGAAACTAATTTGAGCTGTAGCTTTCACTTCACTCAGCCTTTCCCTGTGCTCTCACTTGCTTTCTTTTCTATTGTAATTTTTAGGTGATTTTGGTACTCAGTTAAATGTCAACAAGTTGAATTTCCATCCCTTATTGAAACACTGGTTCACCAGAGTTCATCTTGCCTTTACACCAAGGAAGATTGTGAAACATGTCAAGTGACTCTTTGGGACTGAAATGTTAGTGTGGGTGTAACAGCATGGGCATTAGACTAGCTGGACATTTAGTTGTGGGTTTAACCAGTGTTGTTGCATTGTTCTGGATTGGGTATCGGGGTGTTTTCACATCTGCCTTGTTTAGTCCAATTGAATCGATCTCGGGTTCGTTTTCTCCCTCACTGCAGTTAGCCCACACAGGTCTGAACACAGCAGTTGCACTTGGCTGCGGACCAAAACAACTGCACCAAGACCCTGTTCTGACTGTGGTCTCAGACCAGAAAAAAAAGCGGTTCATTTGTAGTGTGAACATGATCTGACCTCAATCTGGACCAACAAGGAGTGCACTGCAAGTTTGAGCTAAGCAGTTCAGCATGTTCAAAGGTTCATGGTTCAGAGTGTTTATTTGTCATATGCACAGTTGGGAAACGTGAAATTCTTACTTTGCTGTCCACATGAATGCCACACAATACAAGTGAAATATAAAGTAGATGAGCAATAACACAAATCTAAATAGGCAGTAACACAAATCTAAGGTGCTTTAAAGCAGCAAGTGAAGGAAGCAAATAAAAATACAACAAGAACACAATATAATGCAGAGGGAATATATACTATGTGGGAGCCGTGATGTGCAAATATTCAGCAGTGAGTGTGCAATTATGCATGTGCACAATGAGTATGTAAACAGTACAGATGGATTTACATGAGGTAGATCCTGAGTCAGCTGTTTAGGAGTCTGATGGCAGAATCTTCTCCACAGTCTTTACCACTCTCTGCAGGTGCTTGCAGTCCATAGCAGTAGTGCTGCCATACTAGACATTGATGCAGCTGGTCAAGATGCTCTCAATGATGCAGCTGTAGAAGTTGCTGAGGATCCTAGGCGACATGCCAAACCTCTTCAGCCTCCTCAGGAAGAACAGCCGCCTTTGGGCCTTCTTGACCAGCTGTGTGGTGTTAAGTGTCCAAGTGAGGTCCTCACTGATGTGGACACCCAGGTATTTGAAGCTGCTCACCCTCTCCACTTTGAGCTCCCAGATGAACAGTGGCTGATGAGTTCTCCTCTCCTTCCTCATGTCCACTATCATCTCCTTTGTCTTGTCCGTGTTGAGGCTGAGATTATTGTCCTTGCACCATGACACCAGACCGGCCACCTCCCTCCTATAGGCTGCTTCGCCCCCACCAGTGATGCGTCCTATCACTGTGGTGATAGATGTCGTTGTATATGTTCAATATTCGCTCCCCTTTTTCTGCTCAGTTGACTCTAGGCTGCAGATCTTTTTTTTCAAAGTATGAAACAGTATTATATTTTCAAGACATTGTATCAACTAGTGTTGTCACGATACTGAAATTTTTAACTTCGATACGATACCTTGAAAAATATCGATACTCGGTACCATTTTCGATACCGCGGAGAAAAAAACTGCCACAATATTAAGGGGGTAATTTTTTTTTTTTATTCAAAGATAAATATAACAAGTCTAGAACATGACACTGAGGTATATTTTACATGAACAAAAATGTCTTGAGGTAGTGTTCAAAAGCCTCTCAGATTGCCATACATTCAAAAACCAATAAAGTGCAAGTAAAAAAAAAAGGTAATCTTTTGTATTTCCAGGTAAAATCAAATCCAAACACAGCATCACCAAAAGATATTTAAACTTCAAGCAAAAACAAAATCAGTGCAATCTTATGCATCAAGTAACAAATTAGTAAACACAATAAATAAAATCAGTTACTGCAATTATATGCAGATTTTCTCTACAGTGAGTAGAGTAAGATTGACACCCATTACTATATCCTAAAGTTGTTTTGCAACTTTCAGATTTTGAGCTAGGAAAACCAGCATGTCAATGTGTTCCTCCGTAAGTCGTGCCCTTCTTGCACTGCAAATGAGCCCTGATGTACTAAATACACGCTCTGAAGCTGAACTTGAAGCAGAGAGGCACAGATACTTCTTAGCAAACTGGGCAAGGTGAGGTAAAGTTGTCTCATGTGTCCTCCACCATGTAAGTGGGTCCTCTTCTGCACTGATTTCAGGCATCTTTTCATATAC